ATGTGTATATGTCAGTAATGTCATGTGTATGCATCAGCAATGTAATGAAGGTAGCTAAGCCAGGGATAGCTACATTTCATTTTCAATGCAGTAGAAGTCTTTTCTTTTTTTTTTCTAATTCAGTCAGGAATTGTTGGTCAACTATTTAAAGAAAAAAAATAAAGTAGGAGATTATAAAGACATAAGAGAAAGAGACAGTGATGGAAACCTTTAAAAGCTTAAATTAAAATGATTATTTGTAAACACACACTTTACCTGCTGAGGCTGCTAGTTTTTTTTTTTTTCCTGTTTGTTTTGTTTCTGTTGGTACTGGGATTTGAACTCAGAGCCTCAGCACCTCAGAGACTCACACTTCCTAAGCAAGTACTCTACCACTTGAGCCCCACTCCAATCCTTTTTGCTTTTATTTCGTTTTATCACGTAGGATCTCGCTTTTGCCTGGGGCCAGCCTCAGACCTTCCCACTTAATGCCTCCTGTATAGCTGTAATTACAGATATGTGCCACCATTCCTGACTTGTTCTTTGAGATAGGGTCTTGGTAACTTTTTGCACGGACTTGCCTTGAACCATAATTCTTCTGGTCTCTGCCTTCTGCATAGTTGGAATTATAGGTGTGAGAACTGCAGCTGGCCAAAACTTTTTTTGATATTGGGATTTTGAACTTAGGGCCTTACACTTGCTAGGTAAGTGCTCTATCACTTAAGCCACACCTCCAGCGGAATTTTTTTTTTTTTAAGCCCAGGGCTTTCTGTTGACATCTCTATGCCAATTGACAAACTATGCTGTATTTTTTTCATTAGCCACATGCAGAGTGCTTTATGATTTCAAATTTTTATTTTCTTCAAAATAGAGAAATTTAAGAACTGTTGTATAAACTGACAGTGGATCCTTCTAGATTTTAAGCATATTCTTTCTGTTTGTCGATTGTATAGCTGTCTCTCCCACACCTAAAACTAGGAAAAAATTTATTTTGGTAAAATATAGATAACATGAAAATTACCTTAAAACTATTCTTTACAGAATTCAGCCATCACCACTATTATCACCTCACATTTTTCAGGGTTTTTTTTTTTTTTTTTTCTTTTTTGAGCATCCTCAAACAGGAACTTTGTAGCCATCAAAGGATAAGATCTCATTTTCCTCTTTTCCCCACTCTTGGTGACATCTAGTATGCTTTCTGTTTGTATGAATTTGCCTAAACTGTGCAACACTTGTCCTTTGCGTCTGGCTTATTTCACTTAGCGTAATGTCCTATGGTAACTCTGTGTTCACTCTCTTGAGGAACTGCCACACTATTTTCCAAAAACTTTTGTTTTGACAGCAACTCATCTTCATGAAGACTTTGCAAGACATTCAACTTGGCTTTCAAAGAAGGAATGTGCTCCCTCTTTTTTTTTAATACCCGTATTTTATCAGTTTCTAATCATTTAATTAACTCATATAATTACAGTAATAAGTCCAAGTATCATAAGCAGGTTTAAAACGTACAACTGGTATTTGCTGAGCATGTCAGTCAGCTGGCAAGACCAGAAGTGCTTGGAAACAAATGTTACAGCAATGAGTCCCAGCATGTTGTAAGCATCAGTCAGTAGAGAGAGCAGAACACAGAACAAATGGAGAGCACTGGTTCATCAGGCCAGTGAAGTGGAGGCCAGGGAAGACAACATCTAGTACTCAACCAAATTACCTTTGTTATGATGAGATGTATAAAGAAATATAGACTCATGTGACTGGCTCTAGAAAAAGTAACAGAGTTCACATTCAATACTCTTGTTTGGAGATGGGAATAAGTCAGACAGGGAAGGCTAAAATACAGTGGGAACCTGATTGGACTTCCCTGGTCACTTTTTGAGTAACCCCTTAACTCTAAGAAAGGAATAACGAGCAAAGGCTGCAGGTCCGTTTCCCATGTCTCCCTCTCCTTCAATTTAATTTAGTGTTAGTAGTAAGTAGGAGAAAACAGGGAGCAAGGGAGTCATACCTATTTTCAGGAAGATCATAGTATTCAAGTTAAATTTGTGTTAGATGTGATTAGATGGTTTTGTAGACGGTTCTGAAGTGAAATCATGAAGCCAAAGGAGGAATACTTTTATATAGCATCATCCATTCTTGTTAGTCACCCAAATGATTAAAGGTTTGGGAAATTGCCCCTTCTAAATATGGTCCAAAGGAACTGGGTTTATTTACCTTAGAGAGAGAAAGCAAGCATGGCGAGGGGGACTTAATAATAGTCTCCAAGAATATGAAGGGTAGTCTCTGAGTGACGGAAAGCAGCTGTTTCCTGTTTGCACTAAGAACTGGAGAAGAAGAACGGAGTTTAAGTTGCAACAAGTGGGTGAAAGAACTCCTTGCCCATAAAGCTCAAGACAATAAACCTGCAAGACCAAAGTCACTTCTCTGTTTCAGAATTGTGTAGCTTACTGTCTTTTTTCATGTACTTTACATGTGGCCTGTTCTTAAATATTGAACTAGTAAAAAAAAAAATCGAGAGAACCTTTCACTTATGTGAGAGTATGAAGACATCCATTGTCTGAACTTACCTGTGTCTTTAGTGAGATTTCAAACAGGGAAGGCTCCAAAGCCTCTTTGTGCTCCTTCATTCTCTTATAAAATAAGACAACCCAGGTTTACCTCTCTTGAGATAAAGAATTTCCATAGTTTTGCCAATATGTATTTTTTCTGTCCATTTGGTCAATATAGTCATGATTTTTTAAAAAAATGTTTAGTGTTTTCAGTGAGACTGAATATTGTGTGTGTGATATATGCCATAGACGTATATTAAATTTCATATACATGATTTATATGATCAAAATTGTTATATAATTTATATATACTTGATTAATGAAAGAAATTTTTATTCTAAGTTGTGTGTCTAAGTGTCAGTTATATGGAGATGAATAAGATGTATACTGTGTTAATTAGGAGCACAGGAAATATGCAAAGCATTATGTAATAATGCATTCATATAGGAAACAGCTAGGAGAAAAATTTAAAGACAGAAAAATGAGTTCTGGATATGTTATTAACTTTGAGCAGATTGATATGCCTGGAAACTTCTTCTCTACCATCATTTTTGTCATTCTTATCCTATATTAGGTTAATTATGCCATTTATTCTGAATTGGAAAAGTGGTGTCTTATTTACCCAATTGGGAGCTATTTTCAAGGCAAGCTTTGATTCCCAGAAGACTGACTGCTGTTAAGCTGTGTCTTTAAAGCTATAACTTTATGTCAGCATTAACAGTATACACATTCTACCATATTACATTTTCATCTTCTACCAACATTTACTATGATCTTATTTGAAGATCTTTGCTTTTATGACTGAATACTTTCTGCCATCTGGAAAGAGGTCAGGATGAATCATGATCCAACTCTGACTCTCGTAACTTTTTTTTTCCAGTCTTCAAAAATCCAGTACTGAAGTGGGAAAATGACTTGGGGTGGCTTTGAATCCTCCCCGAGTTTCCATTTCCTTAATCTACCTTACAGGAATATTGCGAGGGTGAAATAAAATGAAATAATGTGTGTCAAGCCTAGAGCCCATTGTGCCCAGCCTTTGAGTCATGTTGGCTTCCTTTAATTCACAAGAGAATCTCTTGCCTGTTACAGGATCATAATTAGCCCTAGATTCTCCTCATTCAGAGGAAACCCAACCATAGGAGCAGACCTGTGGAGTAAGGTTTGTCCAAACTTAATAAGGACATACAAGTCTAATTGTATGAATTGCTTTTCTATACTTAATCCAGAAAAAATACTCTAATGCCAAATACTCCAGGAAGTGTCTGTTGCCAAATTACCTGAAACGAATCATGCACCCACATGGAAGGAAAGTGCATTTTAAAATCAGTGGGAAGACCACATACATATTTTTGTTATAGAAGGTTTAAGGAAGAACTAATAAATCTTCTATATATTCAGATAGCCATTTAGTAGACATTGAATCAGTTAAATGCTGTGCTTTGAGATGGAGTCAAGTTGAAGACATGGTCCCTGACCTGGAAAAGCTTATGAACTTGTTGGAGAAACCAAACTCCTAAGTACGAAATGACCACAAAGAGACCAGGGATTAGGAAGGACAGTGTGAAATGCCAGGAATTGAGTCCTTAAGTACTGAGGAAAGGCAGGCTACAGGATCTGGGAAGGGATATACTGGAGATCCAGGAGACTTTGGATTATGATTTGGTTCATACAACATTATCACTCTAAAACAGAATGATTAAAAACCACCTAAAATGTTCACTTCCCATAGAAACCCAAGAACATCCTACAGCTGGGATGTACTTACTTCAACTAAACGTATCTTTCTAAAGTTTCAGTGTTCAGCCTGATTTGCTTTCAAACTCATCTGCACAGTGTGCCAGATTGCTCCTGCCCAAAGTCATTCTTAGACTGTGGGATGTGGAATATCTTTATAAATCATAGCAAGTCACATTGAGAGTCAAAATCCCAGCAAGAGGCTTACCTCAAAAGCTGAGGCAGGGCACATATTTTAATGCTAGTGGATTTAGGAAACAAGGTTAGAACCTTTCTCTTTATCAGAGAGAGATTTATAGTTCAGGAATTTTGGAGGGTAAGCATGAGTCTTCTGAACTGGACCTCTCCTCCTGCCACTCCCCATATCCCAGCTCCCCAAATTAAAGAAGTAGGGAAGCAGAACAACAAAACCATTAACTTAATAGCTTAGAATTTATGGCTGAAATCTTACAAAGCTTATGTGAGCAAAGTAAAATAATTACTGTCACTTTCTTTTAGACACTTGGCTTTATGGTTCCTGTCACCTTTATCATAACATACAGCTGATTTAGTAGCTCTATTTTTCATGGCAAATGGCCTGGGGTTATGTTTTTATGCATGTGGCCACGCTATTGAGATGACAATACGTGGCCATACTGGAGTGCAGTTAAGTTTAGATAATGCACTGGGATAATGTGAATGGTTTGGTTTAGTCATGCTGTCAGCATGCCAACTGAGATTTCCTCTTGTTCTTTTCCCCTCCAGATCCTCAAATCCAAGGATTTAACATCTCCAACTCAGCGTTACATTGACAGCAAAGTTGTGAAAACAAGAGCGGAAGGCGAATGGCTCTCCTTTGACGTAACTGATGCTGTCCATGAATGGCTTCACCATAAAGGTTACAGACCAACTTCTCTTTCTCTCCCTAGATGTTCAGTGGCCCTAAGTTACTGTAAATTGATTGCATATTTAAGAGCATAAACACATACACAAGTGACCTCCTTGACTTTAATGTTTTCCAGACAGGAACCTGGGATTTAAAATAAGTTTACATTGTCCGTGCTGCACCTTTGTACCATCTAATAATTACATTATCCCCAATAAAAGTGAAGAGCTGGAAGCAAGATTTGCAGGTAACTGAAACTTGGTCATATGAGGTGTGTGTGTATGGTGATGGGGGGATTTACAACGTTAATTCCAGGGGTGGGAGTAAAGTCAATTTCCATGTGAAAATGGGATTTTTTGATGAGGCATGGGAGTTTCATTCATTTGAGGGGCTTGGAGGAAGATATTAAAAGGTAGAAAGAATTGGAAGAAACTGAGTTCCCAGTTTTGACTGCTCTATGCTCAATGATAAGTTGGTCAATACTACTGGCTCATTAACTCTGGAAGCAATTAAATAGTTCAACCTTTTATTCTTCATTTAAGCAAACCAATTTCCCATCTTTTCTAATATTATAGAAGTAGATAGCATGCACTGAAGGAAATCTATTGCTAATCCCCAAAACAATTTTTTGAGAGTCCTCTCGTGCCTTGGTTTCAGTAAGTCTCCTTCCAAATATCAAAACACCCCATGTTTTCTAGCCTGCACCCAATATTTCAAGTGACTTCTTTATCAGACTTTTATAATAGCTTATAAACAACACACAACAAGTGTGGGAACTTGTTGTGTCTGCTCTTTTTTAAGTAAATTAGCCAAAAGCCAGAGAGAATGAGGAGACGCCAAGGGTTCGAGTCGCTTGTATATGAGATTGTGAATCTTTGGGTGAGGAGAGGTAAGAGGAATGTCTGTGGCCATATGCCTGGTATGGCATCAGCCCACACTGGCAGGTCAGGGAGGGTATTTCTTTCCCCCTACTAATATCATCCAGGACCTCCATCTACTTTCAGAAAGCTCCAGTGGCTCTTGCCCATGGAAAAATACTCCCAGAGGTCTAGAGATTTATTCAGTGTCTAACCTAGCCCTGATTCTCTTGAGTGTGGAGATTAAATGCTTAAACTGGCTGTCTCTTGAGCATGCTTTGGGAGAGCTCAATTTTCTAAATCTTAGATGGAATCAGTAAAGTGTCAAGGATGCCATAAAATAAATGAAAAAGTCCTTTCTTCCCAGCTTCCCAAAATAGCATTAGGTAAGGGTGACTTCTGTTTCACTTGAACCTAATTCACTGCCATTTAGCTGAATTTCAGTTTATGTTTATTAGGAAAGTCTTCTGAGTTGAGCAGTCTTAGGAAGAGTGTGAAGCAGCAGGTCACAAGGTATGTTCTATGGCTGGGTGTTCAGTTGTCGAGGGTTTGAACACAGCCTACACTCAGGACTGACTAAAATAAACTGTCTACATTGCCCTTGGACCATAGGTCAAAGACTTCTTCAGTAGTGGCTTTCCTCAGCAACAGCCCTGCCTTTGACACTGAACTGCCTGCTGACAAGAGCCCCATTTAGAAATCCACTGCCACCTGTGGTAGTCCTCTTATGCCATGTGTGTTTCCATGGGGAATGACTGAAGTCTGCTGCTGTTGCTGTGGTGGTCATCACTGCTACTTATGACAATCTAACAGGGGAAAAAATATAGAACTGATTATATATAATGAAGGTAAAGCTAAATGTTTATTACCCAAATGCATTTTTTCAAGGTATTGATGGCACCTCCACATATACCAGTGGTGATCAGAAAACTATAAAGTCCACTAGGAAAAAAAGCAGTGGGAAGACCCCACATCTCCTGCTGATGTTATTGCCTTCCTACCGACTCGAGTCACAGCAGTCCAGCCGGCGGAAGAAACGCGCTTTGGATGCAGCCTATTGTTTTAGGTAAAGAAATGAAAATAAAGCCAAATGATCCCGTCCGTTAGGTCTTGTTCTGCCCTTGTTTTCTTCTCCTTCCCATTGGCCCTAATTGAACTCATTGCTCAAGGCCAAGTATAGGACAGTAAAACTCTTGTATCTCATAACATCATTCCCCCAGAGCCTTAAAGCAGTTATTTCTGTGTTATATGCATCAGCTATGTAGCAAGCAACCAAATGTGAAGGGAGAAAACTAGTCCCCCAAAGTTTGCCAAATTCCTGTGGAAGTGCTTTGGTGCTAGAAAAAAAGAAAATGAGCTCTCAGCCATCCCCCTCCCACCCTGGGGAAATATAAGGTTATTCGAGATATGTGACAGTGACTCCATAATTCAGGAAGGCCCCCTTTTCATTGCCTGTGGTCTCATCTCTCTCAGCAACAGAGATGAGACAGCACAAGAATGCTGTTGGCCATGCCTTAAAAGCTGCAGAATCTGACAGAAGTGCAGAAAGAGGGCATGAATTTATTTCTCTTTCCCACATGAATTCATGGGGTGAGAGAGTACATGCTCTTGTTATATCTTACCAAGTTTGGTAAGGGGAAGGCTTAGGGAAAGTGCAGGGTCCTCTCTGACAAAGTGCTTGATGTATACAAGTACATTTTTTGATTGCCAGAGTCAATGATTGAGACTATAAGATTCCATACTTGATCTCTGATTTCTTGATTCCTAGATCAAGTAGCAGGTGGTAAATATAGGATATATTCTCAAAGGAAAATGCCTTAGATGGTTCTCTGAAAATGTCTGTTGAATTTCATTCATTTCATGTGTGAAAGGGTCATAGAGGCTAGAAGGCAGAACTGTCCAGTGTTGGTAGGAAAGTCCCTGTGAGTCACCTCCTGCTTTTATGTGTAGTTATTTGAGGGCAAAAGTTGACTTTCTAGGTCACAGAATAGAGTATCAGGTACAGCGCTCATAAGGGAAAGTGGTCCAGTGAATCACCACAGCACCCTAGTATGAAAGCCACCTGAGATTACAATAAAGCCATTAAAAACTGTCCCATATTTGTTCCTTATATGTCAACTGAATAAAAGAATCTTCTCTGGTTTAGGATGAGGCAGATGGGAAATCAGCTTCAAAATCTGCCTTGCTTTTTCTTTCAACAGAAATGTGCAGGATAATTGCTGCCTGCGTCCACTTTACATTGATTTTAAGAGGGATCTCGGGTGGAAATGGATACATGAACCCAAAGGGTATCATGCTAACTTCTGTGCTGGTGCGTGCCCATATTTATGGAGCTCAGACACTCAGCACAGCAGGGTAAGTGCTTCACTAACCTGTCTCTTCTACTCTGGGCTACTAGGTATACCTGCTTGGTCATATTTCTATGTGGATTGCAATAGGCCTGGTGCCCTTTCACTATCTCACATGCATGGGTGCTGGATGAACGTTTTTAGATGAGGGGGAAGAATGCAAGCTATAGGCAAAATTAGAAAGTAATACTGATCAGAAAGGCAGTGCCTTCTCAACTGGATTATAAACACCTTGAAGGAATTTTAACTTTTTCTTTGTTTCATATTCTTCACAGGTGTAAGCATAAATGCATAATGAAAAAATCCATCTCTTTTTGAATCAATGCACATATATTGTGTGTATATAGCAACGGAATGAGGGGATCCAGCTGTCCATCTAAGAAAAGGGTCTGTTATCACCTCCATTAGGGACTGTCATAGTAGAAGGAATATTGAGGACTTTAGCTGATGACTTAGCACACTGATTTACTATGTTATGACAACTAGGAAGTCATTTAACCTCTCTGAACCTCAATTTCTTATCAGTAGAAGGAATGTCTGCACTAAAAATTATCCTTAAAACAATAATGCCAAACTCGAGAATTGTGAGATAGAAAAATATAATGTATATGAAAGTGATTGGAAAATTAGTATCTTTAAGGCTTTTTGAATATAACTTGAAGTAAATAAGAATCTGACCATTTATCCATTACTTCAGTGAGGATAGAGGGCTAATGCAGAAGGAAGATTCAAGACTAGATTCTTTGAGCTCCCAACCCAGATTAGCAAAGCTTTGTTCTATGTAATAATAACATTTGTCCATGTGGTTCCTCCTGCTGGCTCATGATGTAGGATGTTAGAGATGGGAAGGGCTTCATAAATTATCTTTTTCAAACCTCTCATTTTTCTTTAAAAAAAAAAGTTTGGGGGTTGTCTAGATTGTGTGGACGACTAGCCCAAGTTCAAACAGAAAATTAGTGACAAACCAAGGTTTGGAATGCAGCGGTCCTTGTTTTATAAGTAGGCTTCCATTTGCTCTGTCTTACTGAGTTTAATTCCTAAAATATGGCTGCATGTGGGGCTTTCTATTCTGTTCTTTATTCCTCTGTAAATCTCCCTATTAAAGAGGCATTAGAAAAATTGCCTTCACTGCAGGGTAGGAAAATGAATCTGTTGCCAAAAAGATCACATAATGCATTCAGTTGGATCCAAGAATTTGGCGGTTATCAATTATTTTAGACAATCTGTGTTATAAAAATCACTCTTTGGTTCTTATGAAAAACCATGTGTTAGTGGAATATGAAGTATATTTATTTATAAATGCCTGTATAGGCTGGAATTGAAATTGACAAATATGGTTCCCCTTCCTCCAGCCATTTTCCCTACTCCCCTGTAGGCTTTGGCACTCTGAGGTGACCATGTGCTTGGCCATGTGAGGGAAGCTTGCTCATGCCTGTCCCTTTGTCTGAGCTCCCTGGCCAGGCTGCTCATCTGGGCTGAGGCAGCAGTAGCTGTAATGTGGGCAAGGCCCAGTTGCCAAGAAGAAACATAATTCTCCTCCCTGATACACAGAGGGAGTGTGTGAAGGCTGAGACCATGCTTGTTTTTCAAGGAGAGAGGAAGAATAACTGTCATGGTCACAAATATGTGGTTTGGACAGTTACCCAAGAAGCCAGGGGCAGCTTAATAAAGTAGTCAGTGTTGCTGGGCTGAACAGACCTTCTGTCTTAGGCTAAAAAAATTGCAGTGAATCTCGAGGAAAAGGTCACTTGTTGTTTGACTAACATATTAATGGCATCCTTGGAAATGTCTCTATGTCATCAGTTGGGAATCTACCTACTTTCAATAGGCAAAGTCACACATCCCTCTGATACAGATTGGGGATAATATCCAGGACTGCCTGTGTTAAGACTGGCTATCCCTCCTCCAACTCAACAACTACCATTTACCATGTGGAAGGATAATGGAAGTTTGCTTATTATTATTGCTTTAAGCAAAACATAAGAAAGTGAATAATTAATATAATTGCTTTTCATGTTATTCTTAACATCAGTGTTATTATGAAGCAATGGTAAATGAAAAAACTTTTAAAAAATATGAAAATTTAGGTGATATTATATAGGCTCCTAAAGACAGTTAGTTAAGCATAGGAAGATTTCACATTGCACATAGGGTAAATTTTTTCTATACCCAAGGGTAGGTTAAATTTCTGATGAGAACATTAATAGAATATCTTATTTTTTCTACTTATCCATGTATTCCTTTTTTTGCCGACCTCACAAATTGTATTTTGTCTGAAGATTTACTAGGGCTACAGTTTACAAAATCTATAGTCTCTGACCACACGGGAACTCTATCTACTTGGGAATTTAATATGAGGACCCATGAAACAACTTCAGCTACAAATTTGTGTAGAAACAAGACCAAATATGAAGAGACCTGGGAGGGGTGTGTAACACAGAAGCCATTACAGTAGACTTATTGGGGGGAAAAAATTAGGAAAATCTGCTGAATGAGCAATTTTGTCCAACCTGATTTTTATAGAATCATTTGTTTAATATGGACAAACAACAGCATCCTGTGAGAAAAGACTAAATTGGTGATTGCTAAGGAGATTCTGACCATAAAAATAACAGACTCAAAATAATTAAAATTGTTAACTCTTTGCTATGACAGATAAGAATACTGACCTTTAAAAATAATTGCCTTTATTTTTTTGTCTTTCCCTATGCTGTATCTCCTCTCCTATGTCCATTCAGGTCCTCAGCTTATATAATACCATAAATCCAGAAGCATCGGCTTCTCCCTGCTGTGTGTCCCAGGATTTGGAACCGCTAACCATTCTCTACTACATCGGCAAAACACCCAAGATCGAACAGCTTTCCAATATGATTGTAAAGTCTTGCAAATGCAGCTGAGATTCTTGGAAAAGTGGCAAGACAAAAAAATCACGATGATGATGACAGCAACGATGACGACGACAATGATGTTTGTAACAAGAAAACCTAAGAGATCCTTGGTTCATCAGTGTTAAAAAATGTTTTGAAAAAGCGGTACTCATTCACTTTGGAAGTTTGTGTTCTGTTTGTTAAACTGGCATCTGAAACGAAAAAGTGAAAGGCCTTATTCTGCATTTCACCTACTTTCTGAGAGAGACAAGAAGCAAAATCTTTTCTTTTTAAAGGAAAAAATAAACACTGGAAGAATTTGTTAGTGTTAATTATGTGAAAGAAAGAACAAAACAAAACAAAAAACCCAGGAAAATCCTGTTGAGTGGAGTTGTTGTACTTACCGTTCATACCCTGTGCTCCACTTGGTTTTCCTGTATTGCTATGCAATAGGCACCCTTCTCATTCTTACTCCTCGAGTTAACCGTGAGTTATTTATTGTGTGTTACTATATAATGAACATTTCATTGCCCTTGGAAGATAATACAGGTGTATAAAGTGGAGACCAAATACTTTGCCAGAAACTCATGGATGGCTTAAGGAACTTGAACTCAAATGAGCCAGAAAAAAAAGTCATATTAATGGGATGAAAACCCAAATGAATTATGATATGACCTAGCAAGTCTGCGGTAAGATAAAGACCTTGAAAACACATGCTGTGTACAAACTGCCTAAGGAAGCATCATGTAAGGTTCAAACACTAAAAAGCCTGTTAATAAAGGAAAATTTCAGTCAGAATAAGTCTGTAAGATTTTCTTTTTTCCTTTTAAATGTAAATGGTTTGTTTTTTTTTTTTTTCAGTTTAGCAAAGCCAGTCAGTGGTGAGATGTTTTGACATGTACTGGTCAAACTTTGGACCTTAAAGTATTGCCGTGGAGCTATGTTATAGGTTTTTCCTTTGTTCTGGGATATGTAACCACACCTATGTTATTAAAATAGATGGGTATAGAAGCCGGCATAATTGAAGACACATCTGCAGATCTATTTTGCAAGCTATTAAATCAAAATACTAACTACTTTATGTGTAATGTGTAAATTCTTGCCGTATTTTTTAATATTCTGTAATAATGTCAACTATGATATAGATTGGACTTAAATTTGGGCTCTAACAATTATTCACAATCAATGTTCCCTTTAGCTGGCCAGTACTTATGAGTAAAACCCCTAGATTTTGACTTGCACTACAAACACATTTTTCATTGTATTTTCTCTACTTTGTGCTTTGTATATTGTCCATTTTTATGACAAGCTACCTGGGTCCATTTTTCCTTTTTTTTTTTATTTTACAGAAAAGATAGATTTGAGTTCAGTGGTCTACCTTCATCTTCTAAGCATCATCAGTTAAATCAGATGTTAAAAATCCTCTGTGTCAGGAAATGGGGAATGTTGGGGTCTCATAGATAAGTGAGCAGAAATGTTTTGGGGTTTAGGATCTGAATCCAGAATCTTGGTGACTAGAGTATGAAAGGTTTCTCTAACTTGATTTAATTAGTATTTTCACAGATTTTGACTGCTGTTTAAAAGCAGACAATTGACAGAAAACATCTTTTTTTCTTTAATCAGGTTTTTAGTGTTTAGGGGGAAATTGAAAGATACACATTTTAGATGATTTTTTTAAGGGAAGGGGTGGGGGAGTCCAGGTTAGCATTTGTCATTTCACTCATTTCCCTGAAGTTAAAGTTTTTATAGAGGCTCTTTGAAGGTTGGAAAGGCACAAGCCAAATTCTCCTATATGTAAAATATTCTTCTTCCATCTGAGTGAGTGTTTTCTATAGTTGAGGCCAGAGTTCACTTTGCTTTAATAAATTGTTTGCCACATTACTGCCGAGGAGGTACCTCACAGTGGGCTTTGTATGATACGTTTGACACTTATTTGTCTTTACCATACAAAATAATATATAAAACAATGGAATAGTTGCCATTTCACCTAAGGGCAGCATAGTGAGGTATGAATCTAAAGAGAAGTTATTTGATATGATATGTTTCTTTTTTGGAATTTCCTGGCCATTAATTAAAACGAAGAATTGGATTAACAAATCTGAAGACTGGAAAAGCAAGAGTTGGGATGCCACAATAGAACAACCCTTGTGTTAGATGTAACTCAATCACAGATTTGAGTGTGTGGATCTTTTTTTTTTTTTCTTCCACTTTTCTATTAATTCTATGCAAATCACTTTTATTTCTACAGGTATTTTTCTCTTGGATAAAATGACTGTTTTGTATTATTTTGTCTTTCTTTATGGATGCACTGATAATATTTTAAATGCTCTATTTTAAGATCTCGAGTCTTTTTTTTTTTAATTTGGGGGTTCTATAAGGTCTTTATTCCCCATAAGTAAATAGTGCTGTGGGAAGGGAGGGAGGTGGGCAGGGCTGGGAGAAGCATTAGGCTGTGGCAGCAGTTGTATGTGTTAAGCAGCAGTACAATTTTATGGTTGGCATGGTTTAAAAAAATGGAATATAAGGATAGCTGTTTTGTATTTTGATGACCAATTATGCTGTATTTTAACACAATGTATGTCTGGTTTTTGTGGTGCTCTAGTGGTAAATAAATTATTTCAATTATGTGTTTCTGTGTTCTTCCTACCATATATAGTGCTATCTTGAAGACTAGAGAACACCTGTGGAGTAAGAATATTCTCCCATGGAAAGGCCGGGGCACCTCCAAGTTGCCTTTTGTGTTCTTTTCAGAAATGTCATGCTATAGTTTAAGCGCCAGAACATATCTATTAAGGACTAGAGAAAGCTCTGAGCAGTCTTTTTATTATCTCGTTTAATTGTTTGAGATTTAGTTTCTATCCAGTTTGACCATCCACCAGAAAAAAATGCAGAAGATATTTGCACCATGATTTGGCTTTCTGGTTCCATGCTCTGCCAACCCCAGGGCCAAAAGAACCGGTCTAGACAGTATCCCCTGTAGCCCCATAACTTGGTTAGCTGCTGAGCCAGCCAGATATAACAAGAGCCACGTGCTCTTTGGGACTGGTTGCTTGGGAGCAGCCACTCCTCTCTCAGTTTTACCCACACCGCTGTGACACACACACACAACACCCCCCCCACACACACTCTTTCTCAATACCCATTCCCTCAAATTTCCTTGGCTGTTACCTGTAAGACCAGACTTCTCAAGTAAGTTGCCAGTCTTTCAATAAATAGAACTAATAGAAAAAGTAGTTGTGTCTCAATCTGTTTCTTTTTTCATTGTCTAATGAAAGAACTAGTTTTGTGCCTGTTGAGTTGCCTAAACATCACATAGAAACAAACCATGGTTCCCTTTTGTCTGGGTTTGATCTTTTCAGCTGAACTCATGGATGGAGGAAGTGTTGCACTCTAAGATTACTCCATGCTTGTGTATAGATGGCTTCAGAAGCCCTGGTGGCCCAGCTCACATCATGAGTGGATGGGTGAAAACACAAGGATATCATAGGATCATAATGATAAAAAGAGATATCCAATAGCTCTATCAACTTTGGAAAGTTCCTCAGCCACTCCAGATCTTTATCTTTGTTGTTGTTGTTGCTATTGGTGATGGTGCTGGTGACTGAGCCCAGGGCTTCCTGCATGCTAACCATGTCCTGTTCCATCAAGCTCTACCTTCTAGCCCCACCATTTCTTTATCTGCTTTGCAAAATTTTGCCTGGTTAGTTTTGGATTCCTGCTGCTAAGTGAATGAACACATGAAAAGTACATGGATCAGTGTTTGTAATTATTGATCAGTAACGACAATACTTTGCAGCCTGTTCTGGTTTTGTTTTCCTGCTGTAATGAGATTTTTTTTTTTTCCTTTTTTTTGTGGTACTAGGGTTTCAACTCAGGGCCTCACTCTTGCTAGGCAGGCACTATTACCACTTGAGACACTCCACCATCCCTGTAATAGTCTTTTTATTTCTAGTCTGTGACTTCCGTCTACTTTTCTCCATCTCGATATAAATGTGTAATTACCTCAGACCCTTATCACAGAAATTAATCAATCCATCAGTAGTTCCTGAGAATATTCTGTAACTCTGTATGTTAACCTTTTGGTTACGTGACAGGCCAAAACTTGTTCAAAATAAAGGAAGAATGTTATTTTCAGGATATTTTTTTCCCTCCTGCCATATTGAGTTTTTTTTTTAAGAGGAATAAAAATGTTTAATTGTTGAAATACATTGGTAAATTCAGTAATTCACATTGCAGTAGTAAGCAGGTATACATACATATCATTAGTGAATTAAGAATTTTCCAAATACCCCACTAATCATCAATCCTAAATCCTTGAAAATAGTCTAGAATTAACATGATAACATGCAATGACTCAGTGGCTCTAAAGTACTTGTAGTCACATCAGTCTTTGATTAAAGAAAAAAAAAAGAATTTAATCAACATGTGCACATGGCATGCAAACTTAACTAGTTTGTTTTTGAATATCGCAATGTGATATACTGCTCCTAGTAAAGGAAATTCTCTGACATTTAAATCAAATTTAAAAACCAAATTATAAAAAAGGGAAGGAGATAGAAGTAAGAATTCATTTACCAATTTTATAGCTAAAAATTAATGTGAAGTAGAAATAGTGAAAGATCAGGGACAAATACATTACTTTAGGTAATTCATTTCTAGTGCCCTACTATCCTAAGTTATAAATAGAATAAAGAGTTTCGTTATATAAAAACTATCAAAAAAGTATCAATGAAAAGACATGACCTCTGTGAGCTGTGTGTTGAGTGGCCAGGGTGAAAAATGCGATGGAACCCAGAGCCCAGCAGCCCAGGCCCAGCAGCAATAGCCCCACAAGAGTCTTAAACTTGTCTTCTATGGAGGGGCGGGAAGTTCCACAAACGAGCACGGACACCCAGTATCCCTCTATGATCACAGCATCCACCTGTACGCATGGCTTTAATAATACACTTAAGCCTGGGGAGGGGGCGCAGGGACAACCTTTTAGTTTCCTTGGAAATGTCTGGCCCATTACCGTGTCCCCGGAGCCAAATGCCTTCAACTTAAGGACAAAGCTCTTGATTAGTGAGTTGTGATGTTATTTTCTCCTAATTTTTTCGTACAGTCTTTGTTTGACTGGACACCCTATTAATAGCTTCAGATGGAAGGCCACCTTAAACTCCTCTTGTCATTTTCTGTTACTGATTCTTCTGTTACATCTTCAGTGGCTCCTGCAGGGCCTCGGCCCGCACCGGCACTGGTGGCAGTGGAGTTCCCCGCAGCCCATCGGGGTCACTTTTAAGTTTTGCTTAAATCCACCCACAAAAATGCAAAGTAAGAGAGGCAAAGCATAATAACGGAGAAACTACCAGACATTGTTCTCTACTAACTAATTTAATCTCACACTTACCCCTGTGATATAGGTGTTCTTCTTACAACTCTATTTTACAGCGAAGTAAGCAGATGCTCAATGGATAAATTACTTGTCCAACAGCACAGTTTGTAAGTGAATGTTCTAAAATGTCATCATCCAAAGCACTAGATAGATATGGCTACCGAGCAATTAAAATATGGCTAATCTGTGTTAAGATCTTCAAGATGTATAAAATATCCCATAGATACGGTGCAAAAAAAGTAAGATGTCTCATTCATCATTTTTTTCTTGATTACATGTTTAAATAATACTATTTTAAATCTATATATGGAATTAAATAAAGTATATTATTAAAATTCATTTACCTGTTTCTTTAAACTTATTTCATATTGTTACTAGAAAATTTTAAATTACATATGTGGTTCATGTTTGTGCCTTGAGTTCTAGTTCTATTAGACAGCTCTGGTGTGGAATTTTTCTTTTTTTTTTGAGATAGAGTCTAACCTACACAGCCCAGATTGGCCTAGAACTCATTATGTAGCCCAGGCTGGCCTCAAACTCACAATATTCGTGCTTCAGTTTCCCAACCTTTGGGATTATAGGCACGTACAACTACATCTGGCACTGGTGTAGAATTTGAAAGCAGCTCTGCTTAGAAACAAAAGCTAAGCTATTTCTATGAGCTGTATAATCAACTTTTGTATCTGTGATTAACATATGATTGAAAAATATTGCTGTACCCTGTGAAAGTGTTGTTTTTGTAGGTCAACATTTGTTGAATACTGGCACTTCTATAGAGTTCAGTCTATCAGGTGGTATTGACTAGCAAGGCTGGAAAACAGAATATAGGTGTTTTGTCAACATCACTGGCAAATTCCCCATACAATTGATGATTACCTACTAGCAATGCACTACTCAGTCAGAGCAACCTACCCTTATGCCATGCTGTATCAAATGTTGGCAACTCATACAAAGCATCATTCACATTCCTGTGACAACCTTTTCTACCTTGCTTAAGGGAAAAAAGAAAAAGCCAAATACTCACTTGTGCTCATTTGAGTCACTGGTTTTGAGATGACATTGATTATCTATTTGGAAATAAGTTGGGCTATGTCCTCTTGCTATCAAACCTTAAAGGCAGCAGATTCAGGTTTCTTTTTAATTCCTGAAGCTAATATAAAGGGGTGTTACTTTAAAAAACATCAAAATTTCAAGTATAAAAGAAGATTCCAAGCCTTAGAAGGGGTCATAAAAACAGTAATAATAATAAAAAAAAAGGAACATGTAAGCTTCAACAACCTCTTGGCAAAACTATCTCTGGGCTTTAGCAACAAATTCCTTTGTCTCTATCAAAGACTACTGTCTTATAATTCTAGAACATTCCATATCTCATCCCCTTTTTACTCATCTACAAAACTGGTACTGGTTCTCTAGCCTTTCCCTTGTCTCTGTAACTCCAGCCTATGTGCTCAGAAAAGAAAAATAAGTCCCTAATGTTACTAATGTTCCTTAATAGAGGTGATAGGGAAAATGTATTTTACACCTCTTTGGGAACACAGTCATTAGATCCTATATGATGGGAGAAATCCTTAATAAAAATATTAGGCCATGACATCAATACATGTCAATAACTTTATCTGAGATTGCATAGAGAAGGCTTTTTAATAGCCTTTTTCAAATAAAAAGATTGCTTTAGGTTTTTCTCTGATTGAGTCTTTATTTCCCTGAAATATTTTATAGTTGATTTCTTTAGTAATTTTTAATTTTTTCTGTATTCATTTTTAGTTGGTTTCTTTATTTCAGCAAGTAATAACTGTTTAGAGAAGAGATGAGTGTGTTCCTGTAATTGGACTGAGATCTAGTAAAAGGAACAGAATGTACTGAGGAAGACTTTGTGCTGTGTGATCAAAACCAGGAAAATCATTTGCTCTAAAAACAGGCATAATTAAGCAGAAAAGGAAAAAAAAAAAAAGCAGCGGTAAAGAAAAAGACCCAATATACTCTCTCAGGCTTTTCCCCTGAAGCAGGATTTTCTCTGCTACAGATGCCAAACTCAACTGAAAGAATACAGATGTGCTACTTAGGTGATATCAACAAGCTCTGACCAGCCCTGGGAATGGAAACCCTCTTCTTAGCCCAACTTTTCATTCTGAATCATATAGAAAATCCCCAACCTCAGGATGCTGGGAGCAAACAAGCTAAGAAGTTATGTAATCCAATACTGCTCTAAAGGCAACGTGAAGTCATGCA